AAAAAAAAAAAAAAAAAATTCTAGTCTGTCAGCAAATATACAATCTGGCCAGGGGAAGGGGCTCATGCCTGTAATCCTAGCACTCAGAAAGGCCAAGGCAGGCAAATCACTTGAGCTCATAAGACCAGCCTGAGCAAGAGTAAGACCATGTCTCTACTTAAATAGAAAAATTAACTGGGCATTGTGGTGGGTGCCTGTAGTCTCAGCTACTTGGAAAGCTGAGGCATGAGGAGCACTTGAGCCCAAGAGTTTGAGGTTGCTGTGAGCTATGATTCCATAACACTCAACTGCCGGGTAACAAAGTGAGACTCTGTCTCAAAAAACAAAACAAAAAAGGTATACAGTGTATTATTATAGTCACCATTCTATGTACTAAGTCACGAAAGTCTATTTATCCTGTCTATCTGAAACTTTGTACCCTTGGATTAATATCCTTTTCCTCATTTACCCTCCTACTCCTTCACCAATTTCAATTGCACAGTTGCTGTGTATGGTGGCTCACACCTGTAATACTAGCACTTTGGGCGGCCGATGTGGATGGATTGCTTAAGCTCAGGAGTTCAAGACCAGTCTGAGCAAGAGCAAGATCCCATCTCTACTAAAACAAAATAAATAAATAAATAAAATAGGGGCCGGGCACAGTGGCTCATGCATGCCTGTAATCCTAGAACTTTGGGAGGCCGAGGCAGGTGGATTGCCTAAGCTCACAAGTTCAAGACCAGCCTGAGCCAGAGCAAGACCCTGTCTCAAAAAATAGCCGGGTGTTGTGGCAGGTGCCTCTAGTCACAGCTACTTGGGAGGCTGAGGCAAAAGAATCGCTTAACCGAAAGAGTTTGAGGTTGCTGTGAGCTGTGACTTCAGGACACTCTACCAAGGGCGACAGTTTGAGACTCTGTCTCAAAAAAGAAAAAGAAAAACTAGCTGAGCATTAAAGCAGGCACCTGTAGTCCCAGCTACTCAGGAGGCTGAGGCAAGAGAATAGCTTAAACCCAAGAGTTTGAGGTTGCTGTGAGCTGTGACAGTACAGCGCTCTACATAGGGAAACACAGTGAGACTCTGTCTCAAACAAAAGCCCATACCCATCAGCAGTCACCACTTCCTTCCACCCCCCACCACATCCCAGCCCTAGGCAACTGCAAGTGCATTTTCTGTCTCTATAGATTATCTATTCTGGATATTCATGTAAATGGAATCATACAATAGGTAGTCTTTCACACAATGTAATATTTTCAAGGGTCACCCATGTTACCAGATGGATCAGTTCTTCATTCCTTCTTATGGATGATATTCAGATAGACCACATTTTGTTTATGCTTTCACCAGTTGATAGACATTTGGGTTGTTTCCACTTTTTGGCTATTATAAGTAAAGTTGCTATGAACACTCGTGTAAGTTTTTGTGTAGACATATGCTTTCACTTATCTTGGGTATAGAAGTGGAATTGCTTGGTCATATGGTAACTATGTTTAACTTTCTGAAGCATTGGCAAACTGTATTCCAAAGTGGCTGCCCCATTTTACATTACCACCAGCAATGTATGGAAGGTCCAATTTTTCCACATCTTTATTAATACTTAATGTTGTTCATCTTTTATTATGGACATCTTAGTGTGTGTGTATGTGCACAGAGCATCTCATTGTGGTTTTTATTTAATTGTCTTTTTTTGTACCTATAGATCATTTGTATATATATATA